GGAGTGCTGAAAAACTGTTTTGAAGTGCTAGCATTGTAGTGCAAGAATCCAGATTGTCCACTGGGTGATATTTAATGTCTCCACTATGGCAAATCAGACTACTTCCCACAGTTTTGCATTGTAAAATTATTTCTTAAAAGTAAATCACACAGATCATTTGCAGATCAAAAGAAAGCTCACAAAATTAATCAAAAAGGAATAAATGACAAGGAAGTTCCATATGTTTTTACTCAAGTGGATATTATGGCCGTACAGTAGAAGGTGATGTTCTGGACCAGGACTATTGGTCAGTGGCCTTGAAAGACAAGAATTCTGATACTAGTCTTTTCTTGGTTCAGGAGCAGCTATTACTGTGCTGCCTGCTAGTTTTGAATGCCCTCAACCATTAAAGATTAAAAACCACATCTTACAGTTAAAGACCATTTTGAAGCAACAATTATTTACAATGGTTAAGTCATTAAAGATCTTATTTTACAGAGTCATAGAGTCATACAGCACAGAAGCAGACCCTTCGGTCCAACCAGTCCATGCCAGACATAATTCCAAACTAAACTAGTCCCAGCTGCCTGCTGCTGGCCCATATCCCTCCAAACCCTTCCTATTCATGTACTTAACCAAATGTCTTTTAAACTTTGTAATTGTACCCGCATCCACCCCTTCCTCTGGAAGTTCATTCCACACGTGAACAAAACTCTGTGTAAAAAATTTGCCTCATGTCTTTTTTAAATCTTTCTCCTCTCACCTTAAAAATGTGCCCCCTAGTCTTGAAATCCCCCATCTTAGGCAAAAGACAATTACCATTAACTCTATCTATACCTCTCATTATTTTACAAGCTTCTATCAGGTCACCTCTCAACCTACTATGCTCCAGAGAAAAAATCCCAGCCTTTCCAGCCTTTCTTTATAACTCAAACTTTTCATACTCAGCAACATCCTGGTAAATCTCTTCTGAACCTTCTCCAGCTTGATAATAACATTCCTATAATTGGGCGATACGAACTGGACACAGTAGACCAGATGAGGCCTCACCAATGTCCTGTACAACCTCAACATGACTTCCCAACACCTATACTCAAAGGTCTGAGCAATGAAGGCAAGCGTGCCAAATACCTTTTTAACCACCCTGTCTATACGTGACACAAACTTCAAAGAATTATGTACCTGAATCCCTAGGTCCCTCTGTTTGACAACACTACTAATTAATTGTATAAGCGCTACCCTTGTTTGTTGTACCAAAATGCAACAACCTCACATTTATCCAGATTGAACTCCATCTCCCATTTTTCAGCCCATTGACCCATTTGAACAAGATCCCTTTGTAATCTTAGAAAACCTTCTTCACTGTCTACTGTGCCACCAATTTTGGTGTCGTCTGCAAACTTACTGACCATGCCTTCTGTATTCTCATCCAAATCATTTATATAAATGACAAACATAAGAGGATCCAAAAGTGGAACACTGCTGGTCACAGGCCTCCAGTCTGAAAGGGAACCGTCCATCATTACTCTCTGTCTCCTGCTGTTAAGCCAATTATGTATCCAATTGGCTAGCTCACCCTGAGACTCATGTGATCTAACTTTACTAACTAGTCTACCATGCGGAACCTTGTCAAAAACTTTACTAAAATCCAAATAAACAAAGTCTACTGCTTTGCCATCATCAGTCTTTTTGGTAACTTCCTCAAAAAACTCAATCATGTTTGTGAGACACGATTTTCTTTGCATAAAACCATGCTGACTATCCCTAATCCATTTTTGTCTCTCTAAATGTCCATAAATCCTATCTTTTATAAGCACCTCCAACAATTTACCTATAACAAAAGTCAGACTCATAGGTCTACAGTTCCCTGGTTTCTCCGTACAACCATTCTTAAACAAAGGTACAACATTACCCACCCTCCAGTCATCAGGCACCTCATCTGTAATTATAGATGATGCAAATATTTCTGCAAGGGTCTTGTAATTTCCTCCCTTACTTTCCACAACGTTCTGGGATATATTAGATCAGGTCCTGGAGATTTATCCACCTTTATATTCTCCAAGAACTCCTGAACTTCCTCTTCTGTAATGTGAACTGTTTTTAAAACATCAAAGTTTATTTCTCTGCATTCTCTAGACTCCATTTCTTTCTCCACAGTAAAAATTGACACAAAATATTCAATTAGTATCCCTCCCATCTTCTGGGATTCAACACATCGATGACCTCCTTGATTTTTAAGAGGCCCTACCCTCTCTGTAGTTACCCTCTTGCTCTTAACACATTTGTAGGATCTCTTTGGGTTATCCTTAAACTTATCTGCCAATGCTTTCTCATATCCCCTCTTTGCCTTCCTGATTTCTCTCTTTAGAATGCCCCTATACTCTTTTATATTGATTAAGGGATTCAATTGAACCAGGTTGTCTATATCTAAAATAAGATTCTCTTTTATTCTTGACTACAACCTCAATATTTTTATTCATCCATTGTTCCTTAATCTTGCCAGCCTTACCCTTCTCTCCAACGGGAACAAAATGCTGCTGAACTTCATCATCACACTCTTGAATACCTCCCACTTGTCAGACATCCTTTTACCTGCGAACAGTCTACTCCAATCAACTTTTGAAAGCTCTTGTCTCATACCATTAAAATTTGCCTTATTCCAATTAAAACTTTAACTTTTATGGAAGGCTTATCCTTTTCTATAACCATTTTGAAACTAATCGAATTATGATCGCTGGATCCAAAGTGTTCCCCCACTTTTACTTCAGTCACCTTCCCTGCCTTATCGCCCAAAAGAAGGTCTAGTTTTGTTCCTTCTCTAGTAAGAACATCCACATATTGATAAAGAAAATTTTCTTGAACACATTTGACAAACTCTTCACCAACCAAACCTTTAACATTACAGTAGTCCCAAGCAATGTTTGGAAAATTAAAATTTCCCGTTATTACAACCTTATTATGCTTACATATACCAGAGATCTCCCTACGTATTTGTTTCTCAGTTTCCATCTTACTACTGGGGGGGCCTATAGTACAATCCCATCAAAGTGGTCTTTCCTTTCTTATTTGTAATTTCTATCTATATATTTTCACGGGATGATTTTTCAGAAATATCTTCCCTAGTTACAGGAGTAATGTATTCCTTAAACAAAAACACCACCCCCTTCTTTCTTGCCTTCTTACCTATTCATCCTACAGCATCCAAAATCGGGAACATTGAGCTGCCAGCTTTGCCCATCTCTTGGTCTTAAAGATTCATAACAAATTCTTGTTGAGTATTCTTTAACAGCTACCGCACATTCCAACCCAAATTAAAGGCATTCCAGCCAAAATAATCACTGGAATTGTTAATCCAAGCTAAGGATTACATTCCATTTTGTGAGGTTTTCCTGAGCTTTTCCATAAGTTTAAACAGCAATATGTCCTCTCTTTGTTAGTTCTGTTAGAAGAGGATGATCTTCTTTCTTCCTCAGAGACTCCAATCCATGGGACATAACCATGAGTAACCCTGATAACATGCTGCCATCAGGACTAGTTTCCTCATTTCAGAAAGTAAACCCTGTGATACTGGTTGTTTGCTTCTTAATGCAGAATCCTATGCAGTTCCTACGATATTCTTCCAGGTCAAAATATTGCTCTGGACAGAATTCTTCATCTAGCCAAATGGTGACTTCAGTATTTATGACCAGCAGTGTGAATGAAGAAGGCCTCCATATTGAGGAAGTGATAGATGTTCCAGAACCCTCAGCTTTATGAAGAAGTCACACTAATCTTTCACTGAGCAGCACACAAACTTGTGTGCCTGACTCATATGTCTAAGGGTGCTGCAGAAAAGGAAATTCAGCTGATGTAGAAAAATCTTTCAGAAATGCTGAAGTACAAGAATGATGGTTTACTTTTAGATGAGAGTCCAGAAAACCCTTATGGTTGAATCTTATGGTTTTTGGCTGAGTCTGAGTTGTATCAGTTTTTGGAAAGTTATTTGCTGTGAGGCCGAGTGAATCCCCTCATTGTGTCTTACCAAACTCGCCTCATTAATTGCATTAATTTACGGCATCTCTCACATCCACCAAATGACTGGCATCCCTTGAGCCCATGCCATCTTTAAAAGGCTGTAGTACACCTGGACAAACACTGGCATTCTGAAGCTGTCCCACTCAGTCAAGGACAGAGTTGAAACATGGCGGAGTACAGGAAGATGGCACCATATTTTCCAACAAGGATATAGAGGTCCCAAAGGAGAGACATCCTATTCCCAGAGAATCAATAGAGGTGGCAACACAACCAGACCCTGCAAACATGGTCCCAGGTCCCCATCCAGGTCAGTGCCATCTCCAGGGTGCAGATGATTGCACAGTTAAGAAGGTAAATATCTTCGCTGCTCTGCCAAGGCAATCTGAGAGTAAAATGGAAAAGTGTGAGGTTATGCACTTTGGTAGGAAGAATAGAGCTGTAGACTTGGGAGTCCTAGTTCAGAATTCTCAAGGTTAACATGAAAGTTCAGTTGGCAGTTAGGAAGGCAAATGCAATGTCAGCATTCATTTCAAGAGGGATAAAAATGTGTAAGAGCAGAAATGTACTGCTGAGGCTTTATAAGGCTCTGGTCAGACCACATTTGGAATATTGTGTGCAGTTTTGGGGCCCTATCTGAAGAAGGATGTGGAAGCAGTGGAGAGGGTCCAGAGGAGGTTCACAAGAATTATTCCTGGGATGAAGGGCTTGTCATATCTGGAGTGGTTGAGGACTGTGGGTTTGTACTGAATGGAGTTCAGAAGGATGAGGCGGGGGGTGGGGTGCTGATTGAAACTTACCTGAGTATCACCTGTTTCTGGGCGCATTCCTGTCTGTGAGTGTATTACCCATCTCTGGACATATAACCTGTCTCTTGGCATGTTACCTATCTCCGGGTGTATAATGTGTCTCTGGGTAAACAGGGTATCACCAGTTTCTGAGTTTATCACCTGCCTTTGGAAAGTCATGCTGTTGGAGGTGGTCCTAGTCTCGCTCCGCCCCGCTTTATTAGAGCGTGTTATCGACAGGAGCAGATTCAGTTTGCGCTATCGCTTGTACTTGCTTTAAGATGGATTACAGAACCGGCCATATGCCAATGAATCCCGTTGCCTACCCATATCAAGGGCCGATGGAAGATTCCCGGGCGGTGACCACTACCCTCGTTAACATGGCCCCCAGCGTGACCTCAGTCCGGGACCACTTTCTCTGGTCTATCTTCAACTTTGCTTTCCTAAACTTCTGCTGCCTGGGTTTCGTGGCACTCGTCTTCTCTGTCAAAGTGAGTGGGTCAGAGACGCGGGGGTGGGAGAAGAGACACTGGGGAGGTGGAAAAAGGACCCCGGAAAAGGGGATGGAGATTGTCTGTCGGGCTAACCCACGGGTTTCTGTTAAAGTGAAGACAGCGCCGGTGATATTCCAGGCCTAACACACTGAAGAACTGCCCGGGGACAAAACATACTGCACGTAAAGAGACCATTTGGCCCGTCAGTTTGTGCTAGCTCTCGGAGTGAGCAGTTATGCTTCGCCCCTCACCTCTGCTTTAATCACTGGAAACTCAGTTAGTTAGTTAGTTTCCCGTCTTCAAATTCCCATCCCAAGTTATTCACGGCATCGGTTTCTGGAAACTTTCCAGACAGAATATTTCACATCCTGACAACTGAGCGAAAACGTTTCTCCTCGCTTTATTCATCGGTTTAAATCCTCACACCAGAGGGAATCTACTTTTTTAAATTTATCAAAACCTTTCATCCTGAAAAGCTCTATTTAGTCACCTCTTGAAAAGGAAAGTAGTCCTGATTATTCCCAAACTCTCCTCAAAACCGAGTCCCTGATAACGTGCTTCTCTGTTATTTTATTAAACGAACCAATCATTTTAGACGTGATTTGTCTTAATAATCCAATTTAGCTTTGCTGAATTTACCTATCCCAGTATATTTGCATACATCTGTATTTTAAAAAATGCTTTGCAGTAAGTACATGTAATGTACAAATTCATGGCAGTTGAAATTGGAAGAGAGTTTGATAGATTATACTTGGAAAAGTGTTTCCTTTTGTGGTAGAGAACATGGCGCAGCAAGTTCCCACAAAATAAACAACTGAACAAGTAATAATAACTGAATAGGTAATCTCGGTGTCGATTTGGGGAAATGGCTACCATCTGGAAAATCAGAGATAAGTTTTTTCAGAATAGCATCGTTGCATCTTTTGTATTCAGCTGTGAAAACAGGCGGAACCTTTGTAAGATGCAGTTCTAAGAAGTGTGGCATTGTCCCTCCGTACCGATCCTCCAAAAGTAGGTTGTGTGGAAACTGTTCCCATTTGCACAGACTTAAGATGATTAACAAAATAAAAATGATGAGATGAGAAAACCTTTTTTTTATTATTCAGTGTGTGGTAACAATCTGCAATAATGCACTGCCTGAGAGTTAAGACAAAGTTAATTGAGGACTTAAAAAGAGAGTTGGATAATTATTTGTAAAGATGTTTGCAGAGCTATGAAGAATCAGCAATGACTGTCTTGCTCTGGCACAGACACAAAAGCCTGATTGACCCTATTTTCTATTCTAACCGTTCTGTTAGTGCTCCCTCAGTACTGATCCCCCAACAATTCAGCCCTCTGTCAGGCATTTACACCGTTGCCAATCTTTGTGCTTAATGTCCTTGAGTGGGACTTGAATCTCTCAACCTTCTGATTGAGAGGCTAGAGAGTGACTAGTCTTGAAATAAATGTCCTTGGTAGCTATATCTTATGAAAGATTCCAGCTGAGACTTTTTATTCATGAAACAATAACAAAGTGCTGGAGAAACTCCACTGGTCTTGCAGTATTTGCAAAGGGAAAAAACAGTTATTGTTTTGAGTGCAGTGACCCTTCATCAGAACTAAAAATAGTTAGGATAGGATGGCATCTACAGTTCTTTGATTTTATATTAGGACTTTACTCATGCAACAAATGTAATACAGCGTAGGATTTAGCTTTCTGCATTATTTGAAGTTTGTGCACTTTGCTGAATTATTCAGAATACATTCTATATTTTTCTTAGCTAGCATACCTAATAACTTCACTAATCCCCTCTCCTCCTTCACCTCAAAAGATAAACTAGGTTCCCTGTTACAAATCTGCCCCTTTAATGGAGCCTCCCACATACATTGCCGAGTACAACTGGAATGTTTCTGATTTTTAAACAAACATGTAGTAGATTTTGTAGATTGTGAAATCATTTTTAGTTCTGCGTCAATTCATTAATCATCAAATGTCCTGGTCTAATAATTTGTCAAGGAGTCCTAATATTCACAATCCAAGCATTTCATCTCCATGGCTTTTTAAATGGACAATTTTGTTAATAAATTCTCTTGCCAACACTGAGAACAGCACGGACTCAGTGGTTAGCAAAGATGCCTCACAACACCAGGGACCAAAGTTTGAATCCAGTCTTGGATAGTTGTCAGTGTGGAGTTTGTATCTTCTCCCTGTGTCTGTTGGGGTTTCCACTGGATGCTCTGTTTTCCTCCCACAGTCCAAAGATATGTGCACGTTAGGTGGATTGGCCATGCTAAGCTATCCATAGTGTCCATGGATGTGCAGGCTATGAGGATTGGCCATGGTAAAATGTGGGGTTGTGGGGATCTGGGTGGGATGCTCTTTGTAGGGTCAGTGTGGACTCAATGGGCTAAATGGCCTCTTTCTACACTGTAGGTATTAAAACAAAATTACAAGTAGTAAACACTGAATTCCCTTTTAAAGTTGCAATAGGGCTCTGCCCCTGGATGTTTGAAAAACAACTTTCTTCTTTCAAACGATGGCTAAGCCCATGCTTGTCTCAGTGCCAGGTTCATTAAGAATGAATGATTATTTAGTGGTTTTCACATATCTTGCAAGTGCCAGGGCATTTTGCAAACAATCAGATAGTGATGGACTGCAGCTGATGTCATGTGTGTAAATGTGGCAGCCAAATTGTACATAGCAAAATCTCCGAAACAGTAATAAGATAAATGAACAATCTGTTGGTGAACAGTGATGAGGTTGTTGACTTGCTCGCTAAGCTGGCTTGTTCTTGTTTAAAGTTGAAGTTAAGATGTTAAAGTTGAGCATAAGACCAATGGGGAGTTCCAAACCTCAGTATACAGAAAAGCAACCCATACTGATCGAATCCTCAATTTCCACAGCAACCACCCAAACGTCCACAAACAAAGCTGCATTAGGACACTATTTAAACGGGCCAGGACACACTGTAACAATCCGGAACTATGCAGGAAAGAGGAAGAGCACCATACAAAATCCTCGTTATAAACGGATATCCTGCAACTTCACCTGCAGATGCCTACTAAACAGACAACAACAGGAGGACACAGTATGCCCTAACACACTGGTCACACTGCCCTACATCAAGAACTTATCAGAACTGACAACAAGACTCCCAAGACCATGGGAATCATGGTAGCCCACAGCCACTCTACGACAAACACCTACAAGGATTAAAGATCCCATTCCCACAACATGCAGAACCAACAGCGGTTTACAAAATACCATACCACAAACTTTACATCGGACGGACAGGAAGGAAACTAGCCATCAGAATACATGAACATCAGCTAGCAGCAAAACAGCACGACGAAATCTCCTTAATATCGGTACACTCAGACAATAAAGGCCATCAGTTTAACTGGGACGAGGTAACTATAGTAGTCCAAGCCAAACGTAGACACGCACAGGAATTCCTAGAGGCATGGTTCTCCATCCATAATGCAATCAACAAACATATAGAATTGGCGCCCATATACAATCCCATACAGATCAAAGCCGAAATGACACTACTCACCACGACGGAGCAGACAGTATAAATTCCAAGCAGAGTAGAATAACATCGGTTCATCGGAGGCTGCACTGATGATGTCACCTAGCAAGGTGATGAAACATCTGAACGAGAACAAACCAGCTTGGTGAGCAAGTCAACAACCTCACCCACCACCCGAGCTACAGATCTTTGCCAAAACTTTGAACAGGGATAATTATTATGCTGGAAACAAAGAGAAATGTGCTGTATCATGTCTTGGGAGCCTATATATTCACTTGGAAGATAACATCTCTGACATTACACCACTCTCTAAATCTGTGTTGGGTGAGATTGAGCTCAGATCCTGGAGTGGGACCTAAATTCCCATTTCTATAGTAGCTGTGAGAGCTTCAAATGAGCTGGACATAAACAACCATTTATTTTAATTTGGCTATACAACAAAACCAAGCTTTGTTTCACTTTAATGTTACTAATAGGGAATATTTTAAAGAACCAGTTATTTACCTCTATTTGTCTTCAGAAATGAATTATTGTCAGTTGTTCCTTCATTCATTTGCTGGATCAAGCAATAGTTTTGAGTTGAAAGTGACAAAATGTGGTACAGGAAATTACTATGCTCAGTAGCTGTCCTTTCCTGATTAACAACAAAACAAAGCTGATAACACAAAGCCTTACTTGAAAGCTTCTTGCAAAGTTTATAACTTTTCAAAATTATCAGAACTTGTGTTCCAGCATAGAGATTTTTGAATCGTATTGTATGAATCCTCCCTTGTTTTCTTTTAGTCTAGAGATCGGAAAGTTGTGGGAGATGTGGAAGGAGCTCGGCATTATGGGTCAACAGCCCGAACACTCAACATTGTAATCGCAGTGATTGTCACCGTTTGCATTGTACTTTCCATTGTGATACCATTGGCTATTGTGTTAAGTGCATATTGAGCTCAACAACAACAACAGGAACAGCAGCAAATGATTATGTTGGAGTTAAACCAATGATAGCAACATTTCTATGAGAATTTTTGTAACAAAACTCTTCAACATCTTGATACATTCTGCCTGTTATTATTGCTTTCTATATATAATGTACATGTAAGATTGGCATGTTTAAAGTGGTTACCTAGAAAATACACAATTATTTCCTACAAAATCTGACCAAAGCATGGCTCTAATTTTATTAATAAAGTACATGATAACAAGTTGGTGATATCTTGGAGTTTAATGACTGGATTCCTGTGTTTAGCTGTGAACATTTCCTTTCAACAATTAAAAATAAGCTTGTACTTGCAACCACGCTGAATTAAACAGCTTTGTGGTTAAGTTTGTGGTGAGATGTTGTTGATACGTGGCAGTGGTACATTTTGTACTGGGGAGAATCAAATGTGAAACTTGACTTGAGGATTTTTACATTTCAGATGTGCTAATTAACTAATGGAGATGCCTTGTCCTGGGCTTAAGGGATCAGTGCTTTGAATTTATTGGCTTTATAGATCAATAACTTGCATGTAAAGATGTAAGAAACTTCTTTTATTGGAGGTTACAAAACTTTTAGATTTGATGTAGAGGTGCTGGTTTTTGACTGAGTGTCAAAAATCACCCGACACCAGGTTATAGTCCAACGGGCTCATTTAAAATCATTTTGGAGTGCCGCTCCTTCCTCAGGTGCAGTGAGAGAGGGCACACAGACACAAGAGTTTATAGGCAGAGAGGTCAAAGGATCATACAACTGGTGTGAGTGCAGTGAAAAAGCATTAAATGGCTGTTGGAGAACTCTGTTAGAAAGGAAATGTAAGTTTCAATTGATGAAGATGCAAATTCCAGAATCTGTTTCATGCCACAGCCCCAAGATAATTAAAGGTTTTATCAATGTCTGCCTCACTTTCCAAACTTCAACCAGGCAGAGATACAAGAGCTGTCATCTCAGGTCAGACACTGATTTGTAATTGTGAGGCCTCATTCAGAATCTGTCTCTGAGTTCTAACCTGGAATCAGGCTGGTTTTATTCCAAAAGCAGGAATTTATAAAATGTTGCACTGACTGACTGTGACTACAAGGTGTGTTTTTTTTTGAACAAAATTTGGATGAAAATGATTCAGCCCTGGGGGGAGGAGAAGGGTGGGAGATGTGTGTGTGTGTGTGTTGATGGTGTCAAAAGAGGACAGGAAGGAAGATTTTACAGATACAGAATAGTGTGGTGGGGTTACCTGTAGTGCGACATGAACCCAAAATCATGGTTGAGGCCTTCTTCATGGTATGGAATTTGGCTATCAGTTTCTGCTCAGCGATTCTGCGTTGTTGTACGTCCTGAAGTCCGCCTTGGAGGACGCTTACCCGAAGATTGGAAGCTGAATGTGTTCACTGAATGATCACTGAAGTGTTCCCCGACTGGGAGGGGACATTCCTGTCTGGCGATTGTTGCATGGCGAATGAGATTGGCTGAATCACATGAGTATCTGCCGTGTACGTGGTGGGTGGTGTTCCCACGTGTGACGGTAGTGTCCATTTCGATGATCTGACATGTCTTGCAGAGGTTGCCGTAGCAGGGTTGTGTGGTGTTGTAGTCGATGTTGTCCTGAAGGCTGGACGGTTTGCTGCGAACGATGGCCTGTTTAAGGTTTGGTGCTTGTTTGGTGGAAGATCTTGGCAAAATGCTCATCATCAATGATGACGTGCTCCAGACACTGTACCCAGTCTGTCTTCATAGCTGAAATATTCCAGCCTGTGTAATATCTTGGTGAAGCTTTTCCGTACCCTAATTTATGCAATCACATCCTTAGTGTAGCAATGAGAAATGCACACAGACTGGTCTAATGTCTTATACAGTTCCATCATAACCTGCAGTTATATTCAGTGCCTTGACTAATAGTCATACAGCATGGAAACAGACCCTTCGGTCCAACTCGTCCATGCTGACCAGGTATCCCAAACCTAACTTGGACCATTTGCCTGCATTTGGTCCATCCCTCTAAAGCTTTCCAATTCATGTACCTGTCCAAATGTTTTTTTAGATATTGTAATTGTACATCTGTACCACTTCCTCTGGTGACTCATTCCATACATGCACCACCCTCAGGTCCCTTTTAAATCTTTCCCCTCTCATCTTAAAACGTATGCCGTCTAGTTTTGGAAAGGCAAGTATCCCATTTGCCTTCTTACCCACCTTGCCTTCATGAATCTGTCAACATGCACACGAAGCTCACACTGACCCTTTGTATTTCCTGTGGTCCAACTTTTTGCCACATATTTGCTTGCCTTATTAGTTCTTCCAGATATATTACCTAACACTTTTCAGTATGAAATTTTATTTGCTGTTGTTCTACCCATCCAACCAGCCCATCAACATCATTCTGTAGTCTAACACTTTCATCCTCAATATTTATCACACCACGAATTTTTGTGTTAGTGAGAACTGCAGATGCTGGAGTCAGAGATAACTCAGTGTGGAGCTGGAGGAACGCAGCAGGTCAGGCAGCATCAGAGGATCAGGAAAGTTGACGTTTCGGGTCGAGACCCTTCAGAAAATCGGAAAATTTTCTGAAGAAGCGTCCCGAACCGAAACATCAACTTTCCTGCTCCTCTGATGCTGCCTGACCTGCTGTGATCCTCCAGCTCCACACTGTGTGATCATGAATTTTTGTGTCATGTGTAAACTTACTGATCAAACCTCTTATATTCAGGTCCAGATCATTAAGGTACAGGAAAAACAGCAAGGGAGTCAGCACTGAAAACATGGCTACATGACCGGACACAGGCTTGCAGTAACAAAAACCAACCTTCAACCCTCCTCCTCTGCATCACCCTCATCTACACTTTGAGTCAGCTCCTCAGAAAACTCAATCAAAGCTGTCTTTTTTTTTAATCCTTTTAATCCTTTTTTTTAATCCTTATGGTATCGCTGGCTGTGCCAATATTTATTGCGTGTCCCAAGTTGCCCTTGAGAAGGTGATGGTCAGGCTGTTGATACTCAGATATTCAATTAAGATAGTGTCAGTGAATATCAAGGTGCGATGGTAAGATTCTGTATTGTTGAAGATGGTCATTGCCTGGCACTAACGTGCCAAAATATTTCTTGGCACTTGTCAGCCTAAACCTGGATATTGTCCATATCTTGTTGTATTTATTCATGGACTGGTTCAGTATCTGAGGAACTGCGAATGGTGCTGAACATTCTGCAATCATCAAGACCATCCTCCACTCTTATGTTGGAGGGAAGGTCATTGATGAAGCAGCTGAAGATGGTTTAGCCTAGGACACTACACGGAGGAATTCCTGCAGAGATATCCATGGAGCGGAGAAGAATGATCTCCAATAACCGCAACTATCTACCTTTATGCCAGCTATGACTTCAACCAGCACAGAGTTTTCCCCTTTATTCCCATTGACTAGCTTGGCTGGGCTCCTTGGATGCCACACTTAGTCAAATGTGGCCTTGATTTCAAGAGCAATCAATCTCATGTCACCTCTGGAATTCAGCTCCCTTGTCTATGTTTAGGTCAAGATTTTAATGACGTCAGGATTTGAGAGACCTGGCAGAATGGAAATTAAGCATCAGCAAGTAGACTATTGCTAACCAAGTGCTGCTTGATACAGAAAGCTATTTTTGATTAAGGTGCACTCTGGGGTTTTCCTGCCTGCATGTCTCTCTGCATAATTGTCGTTTATTCCTTCCCTGACTGTACATCGTGAAGCAACTTTCAGCATTGCAGATGCACTGCACTGCTTCCAATCGATGCTCAAACACAAAAACTCAGTGCTCAAGGCAGTCAAACTCTGCGATCCAAATGTTGGCACCCTTACAAAACCAAATTACTTTCTGCAGATACAGTCATCCAGATTGCCAGGAGCATCTAAGCTTTTCCGTATTCTGCAGGCCATGAACGACATGGGCCCCAGCTGTCCTGCCATATCTTTAGTTTTAAAAAAATATTTACCTTAAATAATCTTCTATTTGGCTTAAATTTAAGTTTTATATTAAAAAGCAGCTAGAACTCATATCCAGCATGGATGGATGTTGAACTGAGGCCATCTGGCTTAGAAACATAGAAAATTGTTGCAGGAGTAGGCCATTTGGCCTTTCAAACCTGCACCACCATTCAATACAATCATGGAATCATGGTTGATCATGCAATCTCAGTATCCCCCATACCCGTTGATCGCTCTAGCTGCAAGGGTTGTCCAGCTCCCTCTTGAATATATCTAATAAACTGGCCCCAACAGCTTCTGATGGGAGAGAATTCCACAGGTTCATGTTTGAGTGAAGGAATTCTTCCTCATCTCAGTCCTGAATGGCTTATCCCTTATTCTTAGACTGTGACTCCTTGTTCTGGACTTCCCCAACATCAGGAGCAATCTTCCTGCATCTAGCCTGTCAATTCCCATCAGGATTTTATATGTTTCTATGAGATCGCCCCTCATTCTTCTACATTCTGGTGATTACAAGATCAGTCGACCCAGTCTTTTCTCATATGTCAGTTTTGCCATCTTGGGAATCAGTCTGGTGAACCTTCACTGGACTCCCTCAACAGCAAGAATGTCCTTCCTCAGACGAGGAGACCAAAACTGCACGCAATACTCAAGGTGAGACCTCACCAAAGCCCTGTATAACTGTAGCAAGACATCTCTACTCCCGTAGTCAAATCCTCTCGCTAAGAAGGCCAGCATGCCATTAGCTTTCCTCACTGCCTGCTGTACCCGCATGCCAACCTTCAGCGATTGTTCCACCATGACACACAAGTTTCATTGTACCTCACCTTTTCCCAAATTGCCACCATTCAGATAGTTATCTGCCTTCCTGTTTTTGTGACCAAAGTGGATAACCTCACATTTATCCACATTATTTTGCACGCAGGAGGCCCAGGATGGACATGTTGTCGAAGGAATGGGAGGGGGAGTTGAAATGGTTCGCGACTGGGAGGGCAGCTGAACTCGTCCTGACTCTTAACAACTTCTCTTTCAATTCTTCACACTTCCTACAGACAAAGGGAGTGGCCATGGGTACCCGCATGGGCCCAAGCTATGCCAGCTTCTTTGTAGGTTACGTGGAACAATCCGTCTTCCGTAGCCACACTGATCCTAAACCCCACCTCTTCCTCCGTTACATTGATGACTGTATCGGTGCCGCCTCGTGCTCCCACGAGGAGCTCGAACAGTTCGTCCACTTCACCAACACCTTCCACCCCAACCTTAAGTTCACCTGGAC